AATAACTAATTGTAATTCATCCAGTTTCATCTTTTAACAATAGCTAGTGTTTAATTGAAATAAGAAATTACAGCAATTTAAACTATTGTACCTTGCACAAATAACAATTAAATTAATCAATGTTTAATGTTTGAAACACTGCTTAAGACTGATAATGATTGCATACTCTCAGCTATATGATGAAGCTGATAGCATGAAAAGCATAATATATGATATAAGTAGTAAAATAAAGAGTTGAAGGAATGGATATAAGATTGCTTTTGCTCATCTTACACAAAACATCTTTCACTGGACTACAGATCATAACTTTTAATGGCATAAATCTACAGTATTGGCTGTTGTATCTAAATGCTAGACATTTTTAATTTTTAAGGTAATAAGTAGGCTAGTCTTTAAAGAAAGTATTTTGGTCTAAAGTACAGTTAGGTCATAATCATGCACTGATGTTAATAATTACATGGACTTTAAAATTAAATTTAACAATTTAGAATATTCTGGAAGAAAAGATGATTTAAAGTAGTTCTTAAAGATCTATAAACATCTCAAATAATAAGGCAAACAATTTCTGTACTGAATCAGGCTCCTTTACTGATATTATTAATAATTAAATTCTAAGAAATTTGGTATTAGAGGTAGGCTTATATGCCATCTCTTATTAAATTTAATAATTATAATTAAATTAATATTTATTAAATAAATTATCTATAATTATTAAATTTAATAAGAGATGACACATAATGCCTATCTCTAATACCAAATTACTTAGAATTTAATTATTAATAATAATGCTACATTATTATTAATAATACAATAATGCCTGATTTAATTGATTTAATACTGCAATTGTTTGGCTTAGTAGTACTTAAAGGTTCAATCAACTTCTGCTTACTATATTGATGTTTTACTAGACTAGTTTTACTACATGGACATCTATCTGATTTTCACTTCAGTCATCAGTTCTAATATATATCATTTATGCTTCATTTACAAGAACAGGAACTTACAGTTAAAACTTTAATTACATTGATTTTCTATTGAAAGTCTATAATAAAAAAGTTTGTGTAGATAGAAAAATTTCAGTGTGCAAAACAAACACAAAAACCTTTAATGCATAGGAATAGTTTAAAGGAAAACAAACAGTTACATAATTCAACTGAAAATGTTTGTTCCCTGCAAATTAATTGTCTTTTAAAATATTATACAGTTTGCAGAGATGAAATGAAAAAGTAACAAATGCAAGAATTCAAAATTATGCAGAACTGGATACTGATGATCAAAACTCTTCAATGCTTTTTGTTTATATAATTATGTAGAAAATTAGACTTTGAAAAAATAGAATATTTTAGTCTTTACTATGCCAACTAATTTATCTATAAATATGGACATTTTTTATTATTGTTTTAGAGAAATAAAACATGTTAGATATTAATTGTAAATAAATTCATTTCAGTACACTACTCTTCGTTCAAGATTTGTTTCAGCAATGGAAGGAATTAACAT